AGTGTGCATTGCATTGGCAATGCACACTGATTTTGCTTTGATTGAAGTTTGGGGACATTTTAAAATGCCTTTTTTTCAGAACCGCATCTGACACTTGCAACTGTCGGGAGGGGTGAGACGGCCAGGCCGGGGGGCGGGGTAGCAATGCGCGACTGCTCTTCTTCTGAATAAATGAAAACTATGTAACACAGTTGTTTACACTAAATAACATATAATAATTAAATATTTGACCAAAGAAAAACCGGAGCAGGACTAAAGAGAGATAAATATGATTTAGATTTTTATTTCTTTGTCTATACGACCCAGGGGAGACACGACATTAACAGCAGTCGTCGTTTCATTCCTCTGCTTTAGCAGCTCATTTAATTCCACGACTGACGCTGCTAAAAAGGACAGATTTTCTTTTCTCGATCTCGGAGAGCAGGACTTTAATCTCCAAACTCGTAAAGTTCTTCTTTTTACTTTTCACTGTCATTTTCATGAATGGACACTTCCTGATATCTGAAGCAGGAAACATAGCCTTATATGGTGCTTTTGGGGTGGTAACCCTTCGTACGAACAAAAGTACAAGAAATTTAGGATAAGAATTCGAACATGTTCTTGCATGAGATCCATTGTATTCACCAAAGGAAAAAAGTAGACTCCTTATCTCGTAATTATGACATCTTATCTTGTAATTCTGAGATACAGATCTCATAATTATGAAATGAGTCTTTTTTTTATGAATGCAATGGTCTTCCATAGATCTGTTTTCTCCTGTATAAATAAAATTTTATGGTGCTGATTGCTGCAAGGAAAAAGCTGCATACAGGTAGCTCTGATTTATTTATTTGAGTACATCTTAATCCTAATGTTTCAGGTATGTTTTGGATGGCTTTCCAGCGACCCTCAGGCAGGCTGAACTGATGGGATCTCGCAGCATCATCCCCATGCTAGTGATAGAGCTTGAACTCGACACCTTGGAGGTGCTACAAAGAGGCCTTATAGACAAGATGAAGTCCAATAAGTAAGATAAAACCCTAAATACGAAGAAACAGATTAATATAGCAAACTAGCAAACGAAATGTGAACTTTTCATTGCAGGCCCTACCTGATGCATGACAGCTCTGAGATCCTGCACAGCTGCACTTCCATTTATAAGGAGCAGGTGGGTCACATAAGGCGATACTACCAACAGGAGCATCAGAACTGGTTTATTATTGATGGCTCAAAGAGCAAATGGTGGCTCTCGACCAACATTTTGAAGGAAGTCAGCATCAGCATGAAATCTATCCAGGCTTACCTTGAAAGAACACAAAGCGGTAAATGCTCCTCCATCAATAAAACATTGGTTTTGATCAGATTCCTGTATATAAAATTCCAACCATGTGTACATTTGTTTAACAGGGCAAGCTGCCTGCATCAACAGGCTGTGTATCACACCCAAAAAGCTGGACAGTGGCCTTGGAGAGTTTGGTCAATACTGTCCTGTCTGCCTGGCTCTACAGCACCACCTGGTGGACGGCTCAGACAATGCAGACTTGACTTACGCAGCAGAGTACAGGAGACGTTATTACAAGTTGTGTGGCAAAAACCATCTGGAGGTCAGTGTCCTGCAGGTTTTTGCAAACAGAAAAACAAAAGTTCAAATAGCTAGGACAAGTTATTTAAATCATTTCCCCATTATTTAATTATTTTTTATAATCTGCAACAATTTTTATGCATGCAATAGCTTACTTGTTTTTTATTATTATTATTTTGTACATATTTTTTCTATAATTTTGCATTTACTCAACAACAGGAATTCCTGTCAACTCCTGATCAGTTTGTGGAACCCAGCTGCCCCCACAGCCTCCCACAAGCCACCCTGCTGCCAAGAAAACTGAGTGAGAGTCAGGTGAAGAGCAAGTTCCCACAGGAGGCGGAAATGAAGGGCTTCTGTCCTGTCACTTACATGGACGGGAAACAAAAGTACGTAACCCCATCACCGAAAAATATATTTCAAAATACTAAAAAAAAAGTGTCTGACTGCTATTTCTTCTAAAACATCTCGGAACCATAAAAATAAATTTGTCTTTAGATACGAAGCACTGATTCGAGGAAAGATGGAATATGCGGTGGAGTACAGAGAAAGAATCTACCTTTTTCAAACAAAGGAGAAACAGGAAATGTTTCTGAGGTAATTCTTTGTTCATTTTAAGAATATATGACCGACAGTCATAATGTCACAGCATGAAAACGTTTGTTCAACTCATTTACTAGAACTCCTGGAACCTACTGGGACCAAAAGCTGCCAAGAAAAGTTCCCCCCCTTCCTGAACCTGTTCCTCTCTCCTCCCTTCCAACACTGGGCTACCTGGAACAGGTACACCTGCATGCCACCTTACAGTCATTTTTAACTTGCAGTACAATATTTTAAGTGTGAAACTGACTATTCTTTTTTTTTTTTTACATAAATCTGTATTTTAGGGAGTGGCAGTTGATTTGATTAAGGCCCTGACAGCTGTTGGGACTCTCAAACCAAAGCACCCCTTTCATAGCATCCAAAGATCAGCTCTGATCTACGTAGCCTACTATTTGAAAGGTAAATAACACGTCACAGCTGCTGCTGCTGCAAAAAAAAAAAAAGCATTTTGACAGGCAATCAGAATGATGGCAGAGGTTTTATGTGCTGTTTCATTTACATTTTATTAGTTATTATTCAGATTTTTGTCTATTCTTTTAAGCTTTCAACAAGAAGAGCACAGAACACAACCGCCAAATGTACAAAAAGAAGCTTGCCTTGTTTGAAGAGAACTGTGAGCTCATTCCTTACCTAAGTTCAGCGATGGAAGGGAGGTACAAGCCTCCCAGTGAACGCCCCATTGATTTCAACTTCAAACTGAACCAGTTCTTGGCGCTGGGAGTCCCGGGAGCAAATKATCTTCTGTAGCTATATTTGTTTGGCTCATTTCTGCAAAGCCTRTCAGCATTGCTCAAATGATGGTATAATATCTACAATGCAGAGTAATACTAAAAGAACAACTTGTCTGTTTTGGAAATGTGTCAAATCTGTATTGAAGCATCAATTATCTTCAAAAATAAAACATGTTTGATAATCATTCACTTTTTTCATTGATAGTAATGCTTTCTTGTGATAATTCTTATGGCTCTTTTTTTGTAAAATAAAAATAGGATTAGTAATTGTTTTACATGCATTTCCCCAGATTTCTATCCAATAAATCAAATGTGGAACAATTGTTGCATTATATACAGTGGTTTGCAAAAGTATTCATACCCCTTGAACTTTTCCATATTTTGTCACATTACAACCACAAACATAAATAT